ATATATGTATCCATTGCTGGTTCTTGATACTGTTAGTTTTCAGCTGCCTCCCATCCCAAAAAATATATCATGGAATCGTAGTTTTGGAAGAGACCACAAGGGCCACCCAGTTCAACCCCTGCCATGCAGGAACACATAATCAAAGCACTCCTGACAGAATGTCACCCAAACTCTGTTTAAGAACTTCCAGAGAAGGAGACTCCACCACATTTCCAGGCAGCATTTTCAAATGTCGAACAGCACTAACAATCTGGAAGTTCTTCCTAAGGATGAGATGAAATCTCTTTTCCTGAAATTTGAATCCATTGCTCCATGTCCTAGTCTCTAGAGCACACAGAGCAATGGATTCAAATTGCAATAAAAGAGATTTGACCTAAATTTATATATTTATTTATTTACTTCACTTGTATACCACTTTTCCCATCCTGGGGGGGGGGGGGACTCAAAGCGGTTTCCAACACATTTGTGGCAAAATTTAATGCCTCACATGTATATAAAACCTAACATAAAGCAGCCATAACATATAACTATCAATTAGATCTTTAAAATGTAACAACATTTAGACAATTAAATTGTGGAGTTGAAAACATATTAATACAAAGATTAAAATCACATAATCCAGAAATCATGGTCCAAAACCATTCTAAATGTCAAATATTAATTGCACACAATCCCTGACCATTCCTTGTATTGGTTACTGCCCAAAGGCTTGGTCCCATAGCCAAGTTTTTACTTGGCTATGGGACCAAGGGCACTGATCTAATTTTGTTGGAGGAGAGTGCCACAACTGAGGAGCCACCACTGAGAAGGCCTTGTCTCTCGTTCTCACCAGTTGCGCCTGCTAGGAGAGTGGGACCAAGAACAGGACTTCCCCAGTGATCTTAACCTCTGACATTGTTCACAGAGGGAGATACATTCGGACACGTAAGCTGGGCCAGAAATGATAAACTCTCAGACAAACCCACACCTTACCCTCCCTATGAAGAAGCCTGGCCTGTTCCCTCCATGGGTTCCCTGCCCCCAGTGACTCATTGAGCCCCTTCAAATCCACAGAGCACTGCCAGGGAAGGTGGCTCTCCCACCCTAAACATTAGATATATTCAAAATTTCTTACTAATTTGGAATTTGTCCTGAAGAGACAACAAATTATTCTTTCTTTCTTTCTTTAATATCCTGTCTTTCTCCTTGCATGGGATACAAGGTAGCTTATATTCAATTAATCACTATGGAGGCATCAATATTTGTGTCGGAAATAAAAATCAACAAACTGGTCCAATATAAAAGTGTGTGAATGATAAATTTGAGATGCCAATTAGAAAATTATATAGGCTAAACTATCTCAGATAATATGTTATACATGCACTGAGAAGGAGAATTGTGTAAGGACATTCACATGCCTAAAAACTCCCTACTCCTAAGAATAGTCTGTAGAAGAAGAAAGGTCTGGAAGAGCATGCACTGAGCAATTCCCCTTTCCCATGTATGTTTATATATTATACAGTCCTTCAAACAGAGTGAACACATTTTTATAACTCTTCTTTTGATTACTATATGCTATACATAAAAATGTAAGATGTGAACAGGATTATATTTTGCTTCAGTGCCATGCTTTTATCCTGACACCATTAATGCTAATGATTTCAAGATCCAAGATCTCCTAAGAGAGTATCACACACTTCCATCTGTACACTGGGGATATTCCTGGGTTGTTGTTTTTTTTCCAACCACAGTTCCTCGTGTTCTATTTAGGTCTGCTTTGATATGTATCTTGAGTTTGACAGGATCTTTCCTTTGGTATCGGCTGTGGGGTGGCATAAAATAGTGGAGTTGTGAGGGGGCGACAAGAATCAAGAGTGGGTTTGTTGGAAGACCCACAGCTCTATGGAACCAAGCCTTGGTATTTGTCTCTTCCTATGTCCACACAAAGATTGTATTTTAAAACACTAGTCTAATAAAAATGCAACAAGTCCTCTTAAGGATCCAAGGATTCATTACATCATCCTGAGCTGAACATGTTTACTTGAAGATTCATGGTCCCTATTCAGGTAACATGCCCTTTCTTAAATTCAACAGAGCTTACATTGAGGAACATGTGACTAGAAAGACAATATAGTAATTATTTTGCAAACATTCACACAGCAGACAAGAATTCTTTCTCCCACCCTGGACATTCCACAGATATATAAACCCCACTTGCCCAGTTTCCAATAGACCTCAAAACCTCTGAGGATGCCTGCCATAGATGGGTAAAACATCAGGAGAGAATGCTTCTGGAGCATGGCCAAACAGTTCGGAAAACTCACAGCAACCCGGTGATTCCAGCCACGAAAGCCTTCAACAACACATTTTCAATAAAGGTATACCTCACATCACTGAGCAATCTAAGAAATTAACTATACAAGTTTTATTTCAAAAAAAAATTCCCCAGTGCAACAACTGTATTTTTAAAACAGTACTAGATGTGTCACACACAGAATAGAAGAAATTTAAAGAAGTGACTTTAAACTCACATCCTGAAGGGAAAAAATAGAGGCACAAGATCAGATATATCAGTATGAAATGGGGGAAACTATTGCCTCCATACACAATCTCATATGGAAAAGGGAGCTCAAGATTCACCCTCTTGATTCATTGTATTTCTTCTTAGTCATATACTGAAAGTTTTAAAAAGTATTCAGATATCATTGCACCAGACAAAGAGATGTCTGCCTTCAAATGCAAACAAAATGTCAATATCAGATTATGCACTTTGAAACAATGCTCAAGGAACATAGCATGCTTATCCAAAACAGAATGGTAAGAATGTGGAAATGGAGGATATTCTCTGCAATACTTTGCTTTTGTAATCATGTATACCTGTGATTCTCACAATTCTCTACCAGCATTTGGCACTAAGATTTTATAATGTTAGACAGGAAAAGTTTTTTCATAATAGTTTATTATTATTATTATTATTATTATTATTATTATTATTATTAGTGTCAGGAGTGACTTGAGAAACTGCAAGCCACTTCTGGCGTGAGAGAATTGGCCGTCTGCAAGGATGATGACCAGGGGAAACCCGGATGTTTGATGTTTTAGCATCCTTGTGGGAGGCTTTCCTCATGTCCCTGCATGGGGAGCTAGAGCTGAGACGGGAGCTCACCCTGCTCCCTGTCGGTCAGCAGTTCTGTTAACCCATTGTGCCACGAGGGGCTCCTATGTCATAATGAGATACAGGTGACACTCTCTATCTTTTCAAAAGGAGGAGTATTTAATATTGACATGCTGGCTTAAGTAATAAATATTACTGCTTCACTTTCACTACAAAAGACCCTGGATATTGACTTAAGTTCCCACTTATCAACAGCTTAAAGCACCTCAAAATGTAGTGGCAATCTGATGACATCTGTGTGAATGGAGATAAATACCGTAACACTAAATTGTACCTTCTTTCATAAATAAGACAAAAAAAATCTATAGGTTGTACTTTCTTTCATAAATAAGACAAAAAAAATCTATAAATTGAATACAAATCAAGTCATGCTCAGTCCACAAATGTTAATCAGGGTGGCCAATTGCAACATTCACACTTTCCTCAAACAGACAAGAGTTCTTTCTCCCACCCTGGACATTATTCCACAGATATATAAACCTCGTTTGCCTAGTTTCCAACAGAAGTACAACCCCTGAGGATGCCTGCCATAGATGTGGGCGAAACGTTATGAGAGAATGCTTCTGGAACATAGCCATACAGCCTGGACAACTCACAGGAACCCAGCTTTGTCATGAGTAGTCTAGTTGAGTCCAGTATGACTGCTTCTACACAGAGAAGCCATTGAAATTCACAAGCATGTGGATAATTTCAACAGAACGGAGGAAACCATGAAATTGATCAAAATCTGGCTACCGGTATTTTAAAGAATTCTAAAATCAGGACAGTAAATAAAAAGGAACACTCAAAAACAGAGGAATTCCAGACAAGAAACAATCAGGGCCAGCTAATCACCTCCCAACAAAGGATTCCCCCAGGCAGGAAGCAGCCAAGCCTTGAAGCTGCAAGACTTTTCAGTGCTAATCTAGGTGATCAATTTCTGCATTCACACTTGCCTCAAGCAGACAAGAGTTCTTTCTCCCACCCTGGACATTATTCCACAGACATATAAACCTTGCTTGCCTAGTTTCCAACAGACCTCACAACCTCTGAGGATGCCTGCCATAGATGTGGGCAAAACGTTAGGAGAAAATGCTTCTGGAACATAGACATACAGCCTGGAAAACTCACATGAACCCAGCTTTGTCATGAGTAGCCTGGTTGAGTCCAGTATGACTGCTTCTAACAAAGAGGTTGTTACTATATTGTGGCAAGTGCTTAAGGCTCTGTTATCTTATTCCGCATTCGAAGACCTGCACTCACTCTTTGCCCTCAAACAACTTCTCCGTTGACCCTTTCCCCCTTGGAAAGCATTCCGCCCACAGCCCCGAGGCTTTCAGCCACTGGAATCCAGACAGCTTTACCCTGTTCCTTTCCTTAAGACTAAGCTTGGGAAGCCTGGGCTTCTGAAGTGAAACTCCCAAGCACATTCTTGTCAAAGGCAGCCCTTGCCTCTAAAATTAAGAAGAAATATTGAAATCGTTTAGCAAAATCCATTAAAAAGTCTCCCGCAATTACCGGCTTTATGTGTTTGACACAAATCATGCCCGAGAAGAATAAGGGGAAGCCCTCCTCCTCCTCCTCCTCTGAGCCCCCCCCCCCCCTCTTCTCCTCGACGGAGCCCAGCGCCTCTCACATTTCTCAATCCGGAGTCCAAAAAGCCTGGAAGAAGTTCCGAGGCAGGAGAAGAACCAGAGCGCCATGGTGAAGTGAAGCCTGGCACTCATCTGATCTCGAGCACTTTACAAATCGGAAGGCTTCTCCTTAAGGGATCCATATTTCACAGTTACAACCTGCTATTAAACAGATGATGAGGGAGGGAGGGGGAAAGGGGGAAAGGGGGAAGACGGGTGCGAGTTCTTCCTACCCTCTTGGGTCCAAGCGGAGGAGCAATGCCCACGGAGAGGAAGCGCCCAGAGCCGAAGGGGCTCCGATGGCAGGAGGGGGCTGCTCCTCTCAAGCGGGCTTCTCCCTAGCACGCCTCGCCCGCCTCAGGGAGCCCAGGCCGGCCTCTGGTCCATCGGGGCCACGTTGCCAAGGCAGGGCGCACTCCCCGCCTGAAACTAACCATACCATCCGCACCGGGCGCTTCCCCGCATCCAGCCCGCGAGAGAAGCCCGCCAAGCAACCGGCACGCCCCTCGGGCTCGTCCTCCCGCGAGTCAAGGCAAGGAAGAGCCCAAGTGTGGAACCTGGAGGCGCCCAGGTGAGAGCAAGAGCGAAGGGAGCCGCCTCTCCGCCCGGCTTTCCCCGGCCAAGGGCTCGAACAATGCAGGGAGAGCGCCTTCCTCGCCCAAACTGCGCGGGGAGAAGCAGCGCAACCCCAAACACCCCGCAAGCCCGCCTTCACACTCCCTCCCTCCCTCCCCCATCTCCCTCGACAAGCCTGGCAGCGAGAGACAAGAGAAGCCCACAAACTCGACCCGGGTGCCAGGAGGAGAGACTCACGGTGGTCTTGGAGGGGGGAAAGTCCTGCGTGGCGGAATGATGGCAGAGCGGTGCCCGCCTCGCCTCCGTTTTCTCCTACTCCTCACAGTGGAGGCTCCTCTCTGCGCTTCCTCTGGCAGCGGGGCATCCTCCGCCCAGGAAGGGTCTGTCTGTCTGTCTGTCTGTCTGGGTTGCCTTGCTTCCTACCGCAGGAGCCGGCGCTTCTGGGGAGCGAGCCCGGCCGGCCTGAGGCGGGCACCTGAGACTCGCGAGGCAGGAGGAGGAGGAGGAGGAGGGGGCGCGGAGTTCCGCGGGAGGCGGGGGCGCCACATCCCCGCGCGGCCCAGGCCAGGTGCAGGCGAGGAAAGAAGGAGGGAGGAAAGGAGGGAGGTGCTGGCAAGGCTCGCTCCCGCGGCGCCGGCACCCAGCACGTCCCTTCGCTGCCAGCAGCAGCAGCAGCAGCAGCCCGCTCGGAGCTTTCTGAGGAGCTGAGGCGGCGGCAAGAGGAGCCCAGCGAGGCGGAGCGGGGAGGAGGAGGAGGAGGAGGAGGAGGGGCCGAGGCGCCTTCGCCCTCCTTCGCCTCAAATTCCACGCGCAGCCGAGAAACTCCTGAGTTGCAGGCGCCCGTGGCGCGCGCGCGCGCCTCTCTCCCGCAGCCCCCCCCGCCCCCTCCCTTCCCGGATCCTCTTTCCCGCCCTTCGTGCCCTCACCCCGGCTGCCTCCCTTCCCCACTGGGTTCCTCTCAGGGCTCTCCTCTCTCTCTCCTTGCCTTCCTTCCTTGCTGCTCCTTTGGAGGGAAAAAAGGCTTCTCGGGGTGCCTCTGGTGCCACGGCCCCGCTGCCCGTCCCCGMCTCCCTCTCGAGAGGAAGGAGGTGCGCGGGGCGGCAGGTGACCCCCCCCCCCCGCTAGCGTTTTCCCAGCCGGGAGACCCTGACTCAGCAGCTCTCCTTCCTGCCAAGCCCACCCTCAGGACTCCGCTCCCTGTCACTTTACCCCCGGGAAAGAATTGGGTCCCTGGAGGGGAAGGGGGGRAAAAAACCCACAATACAGCAGTCTCCCCTCCTGGAGAAAAGCAGGAGACAGAGAAGACCGAGGAATCCGCCCCATGAGGGGGCTGCTTCTTGTTGGACTGTGATAAAACCAACACTGCCTGGTCCATTCCTTGTCCCAGAGGAGTTGGGCAGCAGCAGCAGCAGCAGCAGCAAGACTGCCTGTCCAGGGAAACTTTCTAGATTCGAATGGGTAAACCCAGGCCCAGGGGCCGGTTGCAGCTCCTTGTCCTCTTTTCTCCAGGTCCTCCTCTCTCTCACCATTCTATTCTTCCTTCCTTCTCTCTTTCCTCCCTCCTTCTCCGGCCCATCCCCTACTTGGATATCATCCAGCACGCCAATGCCTTAAATCAAGAAATAGCTTCCTAAGATTTACATAGATACTCGCAGGAACACCTCAGCAAGTGAGAGTGCAAAAGTGGCAGGCCAAAATCTGGAACTTCATTGGCTGATACCAAATGAGAGACTCCCTGCTGGGCACACAGATGACTGGGCAACTTGGAAGGTGCTGAACAGACTGCACTCTGGCACCATGAGATGCAGAGCCAACCTTAAGAAAGCACCACAAAGTGGAGCCAGCAACATGGGAGTGTGGAGAAGAGCAAACCACAGGCCACCTATTACAATACAGTTTGAGACCTGCCACATGCACAATGGAAGACCTTCTTATAGCAACACCAGAGGCACTCCAAGTGATCAGATACTGGTCAAAAGACATTTAGTATAATGCCAAGTTTTTTAAACATTGTGTTTTTAATATACATTACAACTATAGCCTCGGTTCACTTCTGATACAATAAATAAAAATCCTCCTTCCCTCCCTCCATCCCTCCCTACTTTCCTTACCTCCCTCTTTCTCCCTCCTTTCTTCCCTTCCACGCTTTTTTCCTTCCTTCCCTCTTCCCTCCCTTCCTCCTGCCCTTTCTTTCTCCTTCCTTCTTTCCCTTTTGTCTTTTCTTCCTTCTGCCTCCCCTCCTTTCTTCCCCCCATTCCTTCTTTCTTTCCTCCTGGGGGATGTTTAACTAGGAGAAGAGAAGGTAGAGAGGGAAAATGAGAACCATGTTTCAAGATTTAAAAGGGTGTCCCATTGAGGAGGAGGGAAACTGACTTTCTGCTTCTCTAGAGACCAGGGCACAAGGAAGCAATGGTTTCAAATGGCAGGGAAAGAGATTTGACTGAAAAGATTAGAAAGAACTTCCTGGGGAGTGACATAGGCTGCCTCAGAGTGTGGTGGAGTCTCCTTCTCTGGAAGTTTTTCACAGAGGCTGTCGGAAGTGCTTTGCTTGTGCCTTCTTGCATGGCAGGGAATTGGACTGGATGGCCTTTGGGGGTCTCTTCAATCTCTAGGATTCTAGATTTTATATTAAGAGTAGGCAGTACAGGGTCTAATGGATACACTTTTTCTCTCCCTTCCACCATCTCATCCTAACCAAGGCCAACCCATTTCAGATCCAAATGTTTCCTGTCTTTCCTTCACTTTCTATCTCTGAAAGAGAAGAGGATGAAGAGGAAAGGGCAGGGAGGGGGTTTGGGGAGAACCCCCTCCTTCATGGCCCACCCACCTTGCTCCAGCCTTTCATGTGCCTCCCAAGTTAGAAAGTTTGCCCATGCCTGCTCTGATGAGTATTGGGAACCTCTAAACCCTTTCTAGGCTAAACTCCAGAGCAAAATGCATGCTCTCTTTTCTTGCCTGCCATTTGCTCCTGATACTATGGACCCTGGTGCTATAAGTAATGCTTTAGGTCAGTCTATAGCTGGTCTGGAGTGATGTCAAACCAGTTCTAAAACACAGTGCAAAGGAGCCAAACATGGATTCATCTTTGACGCAGCCCAGTGCACCTTTTCGTGTGTCTACACGTCTTACATGAGTCTCAAAAAGATAGAGTAAATCAGTTCTCGGTGTGCATAAATCAATTTTAAGTCAAAGTACTTGTTAGATATGCACTTTGGATACACATCAGAAACCTCAAGTGGCAATTGAGGAGATTTGGCTGTTTATTTTATTGACATCTGACCATTTACTTTTTCAATGCTTGGCCCTATATGCAGTTGTCCTCTCAGCCTATCCTGTCTCATATTTTCCTGTTCTCTTGGACCTTATTTATCTGAATTACTTTCTTTCTCAAACCTCAGCCTTCATTTCTTTGGGCTATCATCCTTCTCTTGACCTGTTGCCTTCTCAACCCAGAGACCACTAGCTGCTGGTTTCTGGCTTCTTGGATTTTTTTTGTCCACCCTGCTCCTCTGATATAATGTCACATATGACAGCTAGATCACCTCCTTTCTGTATGAAAGAAGTTCATCTGATCACTGCCTGTGATCATCCCTGTCACTATCAAAGCCTTTATTGCATGATGAAATAGATTCTGGAACCTAAAATATGAATAAGCATACAAATAACATAGAATGCCCTTTCCAGGGAATAGGCCCCTCTCCAGGGAATTCAACAAAAGCAAAGCACAAGGCATAAGATTAGACTTTACTATTGGTTCAACAAAGTGGCCCTCAATCTTCCTAATGCTGCAACCTCTTAATACAGTTCCTCATGTTGTGGTGACCCCCAACCATAGAATTATTTTGTTGCTTCTTCATAACTGTAATTTTGCTACTGTTATGAATCATCATGTAAATATCTGATATGCAGGATGTACGTATTTTCATTCACTGGACCCAATTTGGCACAAATACCCGATATACCCAAATTTGAATACTGGTGGGGTTGAGGGGGGGAGTGATTTTGTCATTTGGGAGTTGTAGTTGCTGGGATTTATAGTTCACCTACAATCAAAGAACATTCTGAACTCCACCAATGATGGAATTGAACCAAACTTGGACCACAGAACTCACATGATCAACAGAAAATACTGGAAGGGTTTGGTGGGCATTTAACTTGATTTTTGGAGTTGTAATTCATCTGCATCCAGAGAGCACTGTGGACTCAAGCAATGATGGGCCTTGACATTTGGGAGTTGTAATTGCTGGGATTTATAGTTTACCTACAATCAAAGAGCATTCTGAACTCCACCAACAATAGAATTGGGCCAAATTTCCCACATCAAACCCCCATGACCAACAGAAAATACTGTATTTTCTGATGATCTTTTGTGATCCCTCTAACACCCCCTTGTGATCCCCCCAGGGGTCCCAACCCCCAGGTTGAGAAATGCTGGTTTAGCAGACAACACAGTGCAAAACATACATGGGCACCAACTTTTAGGAATTGTGAGAGTTGAAGTCCAAAACACCCGGAGGGCTATAGTTTGCCCATGCCTGATACAAACCAAGCCGGCAGATGTCAGTTACAATCTGCAACCATCCTTCAGTACTGTGCCAATTTGTTTTTTTTGCTAAGTTGAATTGAAGACTACTCCACTAATGCATGATTAACTAATCTGTTGTTAGTAAATTCTTGTGTATTACCAAGACATAAGGTGGATAAAGTACACATAGTTTACTAAAGAAAATTTAATGCTACAGAAGAGGAAAGTGAGTAAGGTCAATGATATGCTTTCCCCTTGACCATAGCTAGTAGTCAGTCACATAATAAATCATCTTAAAACTTTATTGATCTGGGAAATAACAAAACTGTAAACTTGTCAGTTTGACAAGTAATCTCCCATAGTAATACATCACAATAGAAATGGATACGAGACATAAAAGGCTACAACAATAAAATATTCAGTTATAAAGAATGAGCGAGCCACTTACCTGTTTGGCATTTCTGCACTTATAAGCATATATGCTTGCATTGGCTTTGGGCTTTACTGGAAAGAAAATGAAGAGACAAGTAATTCAGATACATTGACCTCAACCTAGGAAACAAAATGTAA